ACAGTAGGATGGGGAACTTCCTTTTTATTCCTCTGTTAGCCCACTTAATGTTTCTCAATGGGATATTCAACAAAGCTAAATTAAAAACAAATACAGACTGAAAAACAGGGTCTTGGCTACCATTTTAGTCCCATCAACAAGTAAATTAATCTTTTGAAAATACTCTTTTTTTTGTAGTTTGCAAAAGTTAAATTATTAACAAATATAATAGAGCTGTTTGTAAACTGATAAGATGTATATCTAATCTGCTCTAATTTGTACAGTTAAGTGTTTGTAAGTTTTGTTTTATAAGCCTTGTTATTACGTCTTTCGTACACAAATGTTAATTTAAGACTATGCAAATATCAGGTGGTTATTAAGGTCCAACTACACACTGAAAAAAATGGTGACTGAAACAAATTGCTAGTAAATTTCACAAATAATTACAAAGAATTAAATGTGAAATTCTGAAAAAGAAAGCCAGATTCTTGTAAAATATACTCATGTAAATTTATAACTTACATTTTTTTTTTTTTTTTTCAGAGAATTTAGATAAAACTAAAATAAAAATCACTGGAAATATAAAGGCAATTATAGGCATATCGGAACTACAAGGTACATTTTAAAAAGTTTTTTTCAAGAGATTTGTGATAAAAAAAAACATGTATTTCTACTTTATTCTTACTTGTTTATCCAGCCAAAGGATTCAGGGAAAACTCCAGATGATGCTAAAACCAAAAATTCCCAAAAAAAACAAGTCCTTTTTGCAAGGAAAAAGAGATGCAGTCCTTTCAATGTCACACCAGTGTTTCTGCTCTGAAACTACTAGCCACTTGTGTCTAGATAGCAGACAACCTCTCTCTCTCCCCCTCTCTTCTCCTCCTCATTCTTCTGTCTTAAGCTGTGAATCCCATTCAGAGAGTCGTCATAAAGATTCCAAACCCCCATAAAAAGGTCATTAGCCAGTGTGCATTTGTGGGAGTCTGCAGCAGTACATCAAAAGGATTCCAACACCTCCCATTAACAGATGATGTCTACATTTTGTGCTCTCTCTCTGTCCGTCTGTCTTTTCAAGGCCCTTGCACCACACCCCCCAGACAGGAAGCTTTCTCTTCAGACATGGCTGCTTTAAAGCAGGGAGGGGGTGAGAATGGATATTACGAATTCACAGATGAAAAGAATGTCAAGAGATGCCTAGATCTAATTAATCTCATGCATTGATGTGATGGGGTCTTTTATTCTTTAAAAAAGTTCTGGTTTCATCGGATAGTGCTGGTTAAAAAAAACAAGCACACAAACAAACAAACAAAAGCATGAAAATTATAAATGCAAAACCCTCAGATTATCATGTAAAAACATTGTTATACAGAGTTCTATATTGCTACAGGATTAGCATAAATGTTTTTTTTTTTAAATTTTCATGCTGTTTTCATGTGTAAAAAATATTTATCTGCATTAAAATGATTACAGTTAACTATAACAACAACTAAAACCATTAAAAAGTGTATTACTTTATAAAAAAAACTGAAATAAAATACGATCTAAAAAAATCAGCTGCCAAGGCAACATTTCTAATTTATATATATATATATATAAATAAACTTTAAAATTAAAATAGAAAATATTAATAAAAACTCAAATAATATCTCAATGATAGCCTACTAAAACAACACATGAATGATGCATTGAAAATATCCTTCAATTGAATGAAATATTATATATTAAGCATGATAAAATGAAAACAAAAATGTATGAGTAAATTATATTAATAACTTTTTCTGAGACAAAATAATTGAAACATTGAGTGTCACAGCTAAACAGTGAATTGTCCTTCTGTCATTAATGTGACAGATGCTTCTATCTGAAACGGCAGTGTTAAAAACTACAATAATTATTTTCATTGTTTTACTAAGCAAATATATGCATGTAATACATAACACATATGTCAGACATCATTTCCGATGCACTGAAAATAGTTTTCCGCATGCACTCAGCACCAGTGTACCAATTAGAGAGAAGCAGGGAGCTGTTTTAGTTCAGGGAAGAATACACAGGACGCGCATACACAGCATCATCATCTTACATGTAAACGCGCATTCAACTTCCGCATCAGTGTAATTACTGTGAAATTTAACAACCGCATAAGATGCACAATACACTGCAGCACAATTCATTCACTATAATAAATATGAAAAATATGCCACTAATGTTTGCTCACCGTGTAAGGTCGGATAGCTGCTGTTCTGCTTTACTTTCCATTGGGTCTATAGGCCGCCATGTTTCGCACATCCGCGCATGTCCAGCAGCATCTGCGCCTTCAAATTTATATCAATGGAACATTGAAGAACTACAGATCATTTTGTATTGGTGAAAGTGATTTTCAAACGTCCAATATTCATTTACAAATGCACGTTTAGCTACAAGCGGAAACGTTCTGGAACTGAATTGAATCTAAAAAGTATTAGCAGAATGAAATTCAAGTGGATGTGTGCTGTATTGCTTACAGATTGTTATTGAGTTGGAAAAAAATATATGATGAATATGAAATTATTTAATGTGCATTGATGTTGCAATTAAATATAAAAATGCAATTTATGAAGCATGATGGGCATCCATTGTTCATTATCTGGTTTGATATCGCAAAGGCGCATAATTTATCATCACGTATCATTTTTTAATTATTAAAATAAATTATTTATTGACAACTTAAAAAGGGTTTTGCTTATAGAAATAGTATCACATTAAATATAAGAGTGTGCTGCTAACACGTATCAACAAAACCATATTTCTGCTAGAACCATAATATAACCATAATATAGGCTACCATAATATTTCTGTTGTCTAGTCTTGTTGGAATATTATTTATTAATTTATTTGTAAGTTTCATGCATTTCATCTGAATCTACGTTTTAAATCAGGATAATCGCTAGATGGCACCATGCGCTTTTCCCGAAGAATCACTTCATGCAGTCTGCTTGTCCTGCGTTTTCCAATAGGCTATTGAAAATTAATTCTTGAAAAATTAAATTATTTTTAATGATTTCTACTAGGGGGAAAAAATAGGCGTTTTGCATGTAAAATAGGTTTATTACGATCTGGCATGCTATAATACTCACTAATAATGATAATAAATAATAATAACAATAATAGGCTAATACAAATAAAAAGAAATTTAGCTACAAAACTGAAGATCGATCGCAATATTTAGCATAACTGCATAGCTCAGAGATAAAATAGAGCGTCAAAAATGAAAAATATAAGTTTAAAACAAACACATAGGCTATCATATGACAATGATAGATAGATAGATAGATAGATAGATAGATAGATAGATTTACACAATATAATAATTCGTAATATTTCAGTCATAACAAAGGCTTCTTCTTTATAAAGGCTTGTTCTTCCTCTTCTCAGCAGAATAAACAGTGTGAGCTGTCTGCTAAATTGATCTTCCAGCTCAACCCACTCACACACACCAAGCACTGCCTCGCCAAACGAGCACATCAATTTGGATGTATGCATGTATGAAATGTAGCACATCCGAGCAGGAATGCATATTATCATTGCTCAACCGAACTCAGCCCTCGCTTCTGGACCATTCTGAGCATTCCTTCATCGTGATTGGCGACAGACGGGTTCGGTTCGGACGCTATTGGTGTGAGCAGTCCGCCACTCACTCAGTTTGGTGTCGCTTCGCCTGAACGCCAATTTATAGACCCTACTACAGCGAAGGCCTGGCTCATGAATATTAATTAGATTACGTGACCGGACGCACTCGCAAGGTTCCCAGGCAACGTCAGCGCGACGTGCTTAATATTCATGAAGAGAGCCGTCGCCATACTGCGATCCGTAATTTGGCGTTGTTAGGTTGTCAATGGCTCAGAACGAAGGTGGATACTGTTGCAGCTGTGATGATGGGCTACCACTGCAGGTGAAAATGAAAACATCGTTACTTGGCGACGCGAGGGGACAGTTTGCGCATCGTTGTCTTGGACATAAGTGAGTATTCTGGTCGGAGCTTTTTCCATAAATGTACAATATTGACCGTGCGCTTGGTTTTTACGCTGGACGTCAGATGTTTGTGGCTGGTACATCGTTGGTGTTTCGCACAAACACGCGCACCTCCTGCCCACACACTCCAGGAGACCGAAGTCACCTGTTATCAATTATGCCACGCGTTTAAGACAGTATTGGTTATGTAAATTATCTTTATATTGGCTAGGCACTTTGTTATAAATCGTTGTGATTTTTTTTTACCGCACCGTATTTTTTTACTGTTCATTTAAGAGTAGGTGGCAGCGGTGTGGGCTGTCAGTCATTTTTTGATACTGTCAGGTGGATAAGATGCTTAAAATAATGATAGAACTTTCATCCACCTACGAATATTTCCAGCGCGCGCACACACACTTACGCACGTACGCGCGCGCATACCGCACAACACATCAGATGCAGACATGCGCCGCGTTTATGCACAATGCACAAACATACAAGGAGCTGTCGGTGTCACGACATGACTTGTGAAACGCATCTGAAAACGCATTTAAGTGTAAATGCAACGCGTACTGCCCTCAAATCGAGCGCAGATGATACCTGTCGCACATCTGAGGTGATTGAGATGATGTCCATCTGGGTTTTCAGCACATTACATCACTGACTTCTGGTTTGGGAGAGAGCATTTTCAGACTGTCCTTGTTCACCCACCTATAATTCTCATTCAGAGCTGTGTTGTTTTGCTATTCCCAAAACTGCTGGAAAATTCACAATGATCAGTCTTGAAGAACTGTGGCCCATTGTTTATTGTCACCTCAGATAAACCGAATCATGACGATCCTACACATATGCTGTCTGAGTGAAATGAGACAGAATATGAGCTGCAATCAATGTATGCGTTAGATGAAACATTGGCTATCTGATTTGATGCATATGTGAAATATATAAAATGCAGTATGCATGAATAAGTCTGTCTGACCCCTTCTATGCAAAACCTCTGTACTCTTTCTCTTCAGGTGAGAGAGAGAGAGAGAGAGAGAGTGTGTGTGTGCCTACTGTGTTAGTTTGCAGGAATGTGTGTCAGTGTGTGTGGATTATGAGAAGAGCATTGTGACCAGCCGGGAGCAGATTTTTGCTGCAATGACCCGTTCAAGCACAGATTTCTGTCCCATCCTCTGGCCTTCCGCTCCTCACAGCCCAGACATGCACCACCTCAGCATCTTTTGACTTCATGAAGATTCCTGACATCGGTAATGTGATGAATAAATTTGAAGTCCTTGGGATTGTAGGAGAGGGTGAGTGCATCTTTTTTAATACCGTTCGATAAAGAGAAAAAAAAACATTAATCTTAGTGCTTATAAAACAGTTGCTTGTGCATATAAGCCATATATGGTATAAATCAAGCTTATTAAGCTTTTCTTTCTTTGCAAAGGAGCCTATGGGGTGGTCCTGAAATGCAGACACAAGGTAAGACATGTTTATGCAGGAACCTGTTGGTCAGCATGCTAAGTAGAACTGCAGAAACTCCGTATCATACAGTGCATTTGATCCATGAAAATTAGATATTTTGGAAACTTGGTCATTTTTGATTATGTTTTAAAACGTCATGTAGTTTATAACCACCTGGACGAGGTCACTTATAGACCTATACTGCTTATGCAAAAAAAAAAAAAAATTTGTAATTTGTAGAGGTGATGCTAGTTTGTCATTTTACCCTTAAGATAAAACTGCCTAACAGAGTTAACCTTTATGGGCCTTGTGACGGTAACTTTCCCAGAAGAGTTGCACAACACATTTAAACTCCTTAAATGGTACATTTGTTGAGAGATTTCTTTTAGAAGTATATTTTCAATTGTAATATGGCATGGTTCCCTAGCAACTGGTTCTTTTAAAATTGTGGGCTTCTCCAAATGCATTGCTTGTGGCCTAGTTGGCAGATTTGCCTCATTGTTTGGAAGGCATTTTCAGACATTCGAACATTGCTAGACTAACTCACAATAAGGCAAATATAGGCTTATTTTTAACCAGTAGGGACTGCTTTTATTGAAATTGCTGCTGTGCGGTTGGGAGGTGCGGGGCATTTTTGTATCATCCATTATGCAGTGATTTCTGCACATTTTAAAGCATTAGGTGCTCAGTCCATACTATTTAGCTTATGACACTGCTATCGATGTGTTTGTTCAGTATACAAAATAGCTTGCATCTGAACTGAACCAGTGACACAGAGTTTGAAGTACATATATCAGATTTAGTGTCAGAGTATTTTTCAGTTTTGAATAAATGGTAAGCGTATGATATCCAAAAAGCACATTTTTTATTATCAAAACTACATGTCTGTTAAGGTTATTTTCATAGTCCCTTTCTGTATGTCCTCGAAGCTGTTGGTATTTGAGTCATGGTTGCATGCCCAGGATGTGTCTTCACGCCTGGGCAGACAGCAGCAGTGTGGCTGGATGCCTGGCTAGATGATGAATGACAGTACAGTGCAACAGAATTGTTAGGGCTCATTACACTTTAGATTTCACTGACCTCGACGCACACACCCCGAAGTTAACACTGATACCATGCACAATATTCGTGCTCTTATCTGTACAGATTCATGTAGTTACATATCGTTTCGAAAGCAGTTTAAAGGACAAAATGAAAGTCAGAAGTTTGTTTAAATGTTGCATACGGAACTGTCACTAAATCAGAGAACTAGGCTAGTTGCATATCTCCAGTATATTTATTGATTTTGACGTAAGTTATGTCAAATAATCAGCATGGATTTGAATGGCAGAGAATTGATGATGGAAGGGAAATTAACCAATCATATTTCTATGCATAATTACATTGTTCCACTCCAAGTTCCCATGCATCATTGTTATGATAATGAGGCCGATAAATTCAACTGCAAGTATACTCCTCAGCCTGTGCCAAAACAGAAAACTAGACTTGTGCTTTTAGTAATTGGTTAGTCAGCGCTTTCCCTCCATTAAATGCATTCAAAATTGCAGCTGAAATCAAGAGTGACTGTTTCTTTTTGGTTGCATTCAGTCTTGTTTTTCTTTCACATATCATTTTTCTCCAATGCAAAAATGCCTGAAATCTATTTACGGACATTCAGAATAAATTTGGATCTCTCTACATACCCGTGTAAGAACAGTACATTTGAGTCTGTGAAAATTAGACTGTTCAACCTCATTAGGAGACTAGATTAAATTTGTTGGCGTTTGGTGTTGTGTAGAGCTGCCGCATGCCTTTGGATATTTTTGTAATAGAATAGAATAGAGTTCTGGTCATTTAATTTGATTGGACAAGCTTTATTCCGAGTGCCATACTTTTTTATAACAGCACAGGAAATTTGTATTGTTTGTTTCACATTGTTTGTTTTTTAGTAACAAATTGTTACATTTACAGTAAAACATTTGTCACAAAATATTTTTTTAAATGAATGCTGTTCTCTTTAAAGGGATAGTTCACCCAAAAATGAAAATTCATTATTTACTCACCCTCATGTCATTCCAAACCATAAGACTGTTCATCTTCAGAACAGAAATTAAGCTTTCTGCCCTCCATAGACAGCAAGGGTCCTACCACGTTCAAGGTCCAGAAAGGTACCAAGGACATCGACAAAATAGTCCATGTGACATTAGTGGTTCAACCGTAATTTTTTGAAGCTACGAGAATACTTTTTGTTTCGCAAAAAAACAAGATGCAGGGCATGTGTATTCCACGTCAGCAGCACCAAGCGCATGCGTTGTTTACGTGCAGATCAAAGCACGCACATGCATCCTGATTGTTAGGAGTGCGTCAGGGAGCGTCATCAGTGGCGCGCGAGATGCATTGATGATGTAAGTGGCGTTGTTGCATTACATTTTTTTTGTTAGTCTAGCCCACGAGACGCATCGCTGCTAAAAATATTTGTTGTTTGTCTCAATAAATTGTGTTAATTATAAAATTAACACAATTTTTAAATTGTGTTAATTATAAATTTTCTATTGCTTTTTGTTTTAAAAAAGGTTATAAAAAATGTCAATAATTATCGATACTGAACGATATGAAACATTATATCGTTGATAAATTTTTTAGCTATATCGCCCAGCCCTACCTGATACTCTCCAAAATGTCACTGGAGGAGTAGAATTGTTGAATAAAGTTGTTATTTTAGGGGTTTTTTGCGCACAAAAAGTACAATTACGGTTGAACCACTGATGTCACATGGACTATTTTGTCGATGGTCTTGGTACCTTTCTGGACCTTGATCGTGGTAGGACCCTTGCTGTCTATGCAGGGTCAGAAAGCTCTCTGATTTCATCAGAATATCTTCATTTGTGTTCCAAAGATGAACGGAGGTCTTAAGGGTTTGGAACGACATGAGGGTGAGTAATTAATGACAGAAAATTCATTTTTGGGTGACCTATTCCTTCAACATTCTATTCATAAAAAAATTTTAAAAAAAAAAAAAAAAAAAAGGATTTCCACAAAAATATTAAGCAGCACAACTATTCAACAATTTAGCATAATGATTTCTATAGGATGATGTGACACTGAGTAATGATGCCGAAAATTCAGTTTTGCCATCGCAGAAATAGATTTTAACATATATTAAAATAGAAAAGTTCTTTAAAACTTTAATAATATTTAGCAATATTACAGTTTTTTTTTTTTGTACTATTTTTTTTATCAAATAAATGCACACTGAAAAAATATTTTTGAGGTTGTAAATATAAATTATTGGAGTATGTTTGACAAGAAAACACTATTTCTTTCTATTTTCACTATGTCTTTCTACTTATTTATTTGCCATTACTTTGTAATTATTTGTACATTTAATGGCATTTTCTCAGTGAAAATTATTTTAAAGTAATTTTTTAAGTTCAGCTTTGGTAAGCATATGAGACTTTTGGTAACACTTTAGTATAGGGACCAATTCTCACTAGTTGCTTATTTGCATGCCTATTATTAACATATTGGCTGTTTATTAGTGCTTTTAAAGCACATATTCTGTATGACCATATTCTACATCCATAATCCTACCCAGTATCTAAACTTAACAACTACCTTACTATTAATAAACAGCAAATTAGGAGTTTATTGAGGCAAAAGTCATAGTTAATTGTTTGATAATGGTGAGAATTTGACCTTGAAGTGTGACCAGATTTTTTCCCCCATAAACATAAAAACTAATTTTACTAACCCCAAACTTTTAAGTGGTAGTGTATTCACAAAATAACTTGTCATGTTGTGTCTAAAATGTAAATGACTGAATATTACCTTGTTGTTTATAGAACTATTGGATAAAGGCAGTCGATACCAAATTGATAATTTTGTGCTGTTGTACTAAGCCATTCAGCGTTTTTGCATACATGATATTGCTTGAATAGAATAAAATAGAATAGAATAGAATAGGGATTTTATTTTCATGTACTCTTTTCCATACCAACATATATTGAAACAAGCACCATTTATGTAAATATTGATTTCCATAAAAGCCCATTCCGTTCACATATTTGACAAACCTATATTCAGCTACAGTGTGCATCCCATATCCCCACATCCTCATACAAACAATCCATTGTCACACATCCACTTAGACCCTTAATGGAGATTGCACGTATTGTTCAATATTTTAATAGGCACAAATGAAAACTTAAAGCTGTTAAGTCCGCTCTGGTAAAACCTGAATCTTGTATTAGAAGGTGCATCATTTGAGCTTGCCTGTTAATAGAGGAACAGTATAAACGGTTGTTTATTAACTCCAGTAATTGTCATAGTGGTTTTTACAAAGCAAAAGAATATTAAATTAGCATAACATGGGTATATGCATTAAGGGAAAACATGTACACATGAATAAAGGAACACATACATTATCATTAATATGTGTAAAGCAAAACCTATTCATTGTACTATGGTATGTACGTTCCTAGTAGTGCATTTTGAGATGCAGACTTTACAAGCAAACCTTTTAAAAGCTCAGTGCTTCACTCCCCACTGAAAATACTCTTGTTTCTGACTACTGGCTTTGGCTTCTCTATTGTTTCTCTCAAGTCTGCCCAAGTGATGTTATCCCAGCGAACAGGGGCCGTGAAAGGCCCATTGTGCGTGACCAAAACACAACACGAACTGCTGTTTGTTCTTGTCTTTGGTTGAGATATTCTTGTATATCTCTATTTGGTTGAGATATTTAGTAGTTTTTGCATTTGAATTATTCAAAAAGCAGTTAATATTCTTGTGTATTTGTCAGTCAGATAGTCTGAAAGTCTTTCGGTCTAGTGCAGTGGTCACTTAAAAATACTATTTGTGTCTCCACACTTTGTTTTAAAGCTTACTTCATTAAAATGAGTGAAAAAAAACATCAAATGCATGCAGCTAGGCAGCAATTTATTTATTTGTCAGCAATGTGCAATCACACCCACACTGATTAGCATTTGAGCATCTCATGTTTTAAGATCTATTAAATGACTGTTTGATTTTGCGGTTGATGT